CATGGAACAAAATGTCGGCGGAACCCGTGAAGAAAAAACACCTAAGTAATTCAGAGAAACGTAAAAAGTGGCTGGAACAACAAAACAAACGTAAACGATTAAACAAACCATTAAAGAAGACACAAAACCTTTTCCAACTCGGATTTAGTAGCCCATCAACGGAAAATCAAACTTCTCCAAGTGCAATACATTTGCTAGTCAAACTATGGTGAGAGACCCAGTAGAGATTCCTTGCGAGTGTCCTGAACAGACTGACTAGGATCAAGAAACAGCTGCTTTAGCAGTGTAGAGGAAAGGGAGGCCGAGGTCCAATTACTACAGCGAAACATAATCCACCTAGGTGTAGAATACCAGAATGACATTGGCTTATGGCAAAATATTACCAACGAAATGCAAGATGTTTTTTTTTGTACTAAAGATTCTAACGAATGTCATAATTTTGAGTGTGATTTTTCAATCTACGTTTTTCGGAAACATATAAGTGGTGGTAAAATTATACCATAGCGGCTCATGTATTCTCCATGTGCTGGAAAATTATACTGCTTTCAATGTGTTCTTTGTGGCGAAGATCAAAGCCAATCGCATTTTCAAACTGGATTTTCTAATTGGAAAAATGCGTAGCAAAGAATTCAATCCCATGTGAATAATACAACGCACCGAGAATGTGTACTGACCATAGAATACTATAATACATAATAGAACGGGGGTGTGGGCGGAGCCCGTGTAACTTTTAAAATGCCACTAACACGGTCAATTTGACATTTATACGTGTGGTATAAATGTCAACACGAGATGTGTTTTGACGTTACAATCGTTTCCAAATTTCGCATTTAAATTATTTAGAAAATGCCAAATTGCCCGCTATTTACAAATAAATATGTATTAACATCCGTCTGTCAACACAGCGAATCGGGTTTGTAGTAGTGATTAACTGATAATACGACGTAATTGCTTGTATGTGTGCTAAGGATAATAAGGTGCTTAAAAAAAAATTTTATTTTTTTTAATTGCAAACCCACCCCATTTTTTTTTCAACCCCAACATTTTTGAAAAAAAAAAAAAAAAAAGTGGATAAGTATTCCGTGCTGATGATGAAATTTTTGATCCTCAACATAATGGCAAATATTAGGGAGAAATTTATCAAAGAATTACTTACAGAGTAGTTTCCGTTTCATAGTCGCATTCAACCAAATATGGTAACGTTGGGAAAGGAAGACAATCATATTTGTCTTCAACGATTTACAAGGTACTTATTGAAATATTGGAAAGTAGTAATAGCGCGGCGGACATTTCCTTGCCCTTAAGTCCTCGCAGAAAGGACTCGGAAAAAAATAACATGCCGTAATGACAATATTTGGGACTGCCATACTGGATCAAATCAATGGTCAGAATATCTTTACAAAAACTTTTTGAGACATATTTGCCTTTACATATTAAACATGCCGTATGCAGAATTATTGCGGTGACTAGAAGCTTACCGGGAAATTAATTCTCTGTTTGGATTTTTAACACATTTCATGAAAAAGACCAACGATGCAAGGCTTGTACAAAATTTAGTGGACCTTATTTGGAGGACATTGAGCCCGAAGTTGTTGTGGTTGAGTTTAAGTTTAAGTATTTTATCTTACAATTAGAGGATCCCGGGATTGCAGGGAAAGATGAAGTTGTACCAGCTGAGAAATCGCTTAAATTAATTTTTGATAATATGGTATAATCTAATTTCCTGAATGTAATGATAGCATTGCAAATATACAGAAATCTGATGATATCAAAAGCAACGAGTGAAAGCAACTTTTCAAATCAAAACTAATAAAGAACTGTACTGGTTCGTCAATGTCTCGGAACTGTTAATATTCACTGTCGATAATGGGGATTGAAAATAATACATTAGAATCGGTCAACTTTAAAGATGTTATGAACGATTTTGTATCCAAAAAAGTTAAAAAACTTAATATATAAACTAAATGTACTTATCAAAAATATTTTCTTTCGTTTATCGTTTTTTATTTCACCAACCACCACCAAAAACCACCGCGTCTTATTTTTCTTTCCAGCTCCATCACGAGACCGTGAGACGGTCTTATCTCATATATTGTACCTAATAAGATCTTGATTATCACTTATTAACCTATTCGCTAAGACCATCTCAGTAAGCCCAAATACAAATATTTTACGGTAAATTCCTGAGGAGTTAAGCATCAGTCCGGTGATGCTATTACTCACATCCCTTTATCAACTTGAAAAGAGCTGATGATCTTCAAACGGCTGAAAAGGGGCCCGAGAGTTTCATCGCCTAAAGGCCTCGACATTGTTAATCCGGCTCTGGATCCATTAGACATTTATAAACCAAACTACGGACATTTTTCATCATAATCATCATTACAGCCCTTCACTAGTGCACTGCTGAACATAGGTCTCCTCTAATGAATACCGCAAAGCATGGTCCAGAGCCACCTGCATCCATCGACTTTTTGCATGTCTTACCAGGTCGTCCCTCCATCTAGTGCGGAGAAGCCCTATACGTATATTTTTAAAAATAGAAAAGGTCAAAAATGTACAAGAAATTATAGAGCAAGCCACTGCGGCATTGTTTTGCGTTTACATACTAACACAGAAAAGCTTTTATATAAAATGCAATTTCTCCAGAATATTAATGAAATTGTGTAACAAATAACGTCAACACAGTACAACTAGCGACATCTGGTGAGCGAAAGATCATTAGCCCTCATTTCCGGTTTCCGGAATTGGCCGGCGAGTTCTACTTATATTACTCTACTCTATGGTTCTACTGGCTTAACGTGAGATGTTGCAATAATACCAGGGTTTAAAGAGTACAGCTGGGAAACGAACGTACTTATTTAGAGCAACGGCGGGGGGCTTGCGGGACCATGCTCAGGGTGCGTAAACTTACTACAAAAATAGGGAAATGAATTGCGTACTATACTGCAAATTTACACAGAACGCAAAAACTTTTTTTGATAGTAGTAAAGTAAGTATTTTTAATTTAATAGTATTATAATCATTTAGTTCATACTCTGAAGTTCAGAGGGCGATAGTAGTGCTGTGAATATTTTAAGTTTTCGTTAAGCGGGCTACATACGACACGATATCAGTGGCGATCTAGGGTGGAAAGAAATCGGGGCTTTTATCGGGGTAGACCTTACACACGGGCCTGCCTAGCAGTACGCGTTCGGACTTGGAGCGGAATGCATATGCGGTAGAGTTCTTCAAAATACCTCCGACTCTCTTAAAACACCACCGTGTTGGTTTGGCATTAGCCATCTCGGTTAATTTATTCGAAAATAGAAAAAGAGAAGTTGCTGGGTGAAAAAATGGCTCCAAAAGAGATAAAAATTAAGCCACATAAACGTACTAAATGGCCTGTAATCCAAGGACGTGATTAATTTTCTCCGGATGGATGAAGACAGTTTTTATAACCTTCTAGAAATGATTTCGCCACTTATATAAAAACGTCAATTTCTCCTATGCTATTTAGTTATTTCTTCTCTTTGTTCATTTCTGCTTTGGTCAAAATCTGGTTATGTAGGTATTACACACAACAAACAAGGAAATAAAATACATTTGTATAATAATATGTATACTTTTTTTTTATGTAATCTTTATTTATGGAGTAAAACTATCAGAAAATAAAATAGCTTATATCTTTTTTTAAACATAAAGAAACCTTAACTTCGGACATACTCCCTTTTATATAACTTGTTTGTTGATGTGGAGATGGTGAAGGAGTAGAAGTTAGTTGTTGATAAGAGGATGAAGGCACGTAAGAGATCGAAGTGTGGTCTTGTGGAGTTGTAAGAGATATGAGTGCGGTCTTGTGTTGATAGCGTTGGAATAGGAGTTAGTTGTTGAGGAGAGGCTTTATCTTCTCCTTACTTACATCATACACTCTACTTTACGAACGGCAATAAAAAAAATTAGTTTAGTAGGCATTCCTGACCATGTCACTTCGCAGGGTCACAGGCTAGGGTGGATATGATTTGAATTTCGATAAAATTTCAATTAATTTATTTATTTTATTCACTTTTTTTTTTGTAAAATATCAGTGCCATAGGCTTCTACTCCGTTTATATGATTAAAATGTAAAAATTTTGTTATATAAAAAGGTCATTTAGTATCACTGTTTTGTTAACTTCCTTCCGCGAGGGTTGCCGGCAGCGACTGCCAAAAGAAATCGGGCCGATGCGCCTACACACACGCAGTAAGGAGGGGGCGGTGCCCCGATCTAGGAAGCATCGGCTGATCTAGGAAGCATTTTTGCTCCTGCCAGCCGATTAAGGAGGCGATATCGGCCACGACTTAGGATGGCCCTACATACGACACGATTTAGAGGCAATCTAGGAGGCATCCCCACTACTCCACCCTAGATCGCCACCGATATGGTGTCGTATGTAGCCCGCTTTAGATAGCGCTGTATAATTTTGAGCTTATAAAGAAAACTACTAAATTGGTATCTTTTTTTTATAAAGTAATACAATAATTTATAGTGTAAAGTAGTGAATATTAGATGTAATTAAATTTTTTTGGGTCGGAGTAAAATTTAAAGGGTTTGAAAGGTTTTTGAATCTTTTATTCTGAATTTAAAAATCTTTTATTTTGAATTTAATTATTTATTTGTACTATTACTGCAAAATCACACTGGCAGCACTAAAATGTGGTAATTTTTTCAAAATCAACAAAATTTCAAACTGATCATAAACTGATATTTGCTGATATTCTTGTGCTTGCATGGTGTATTAGTATTTTTTAATTATATCTAAGATTTTCATCTGTGAATTTGTCGTTGAGTAGAGCTTTTATTCCTCCGCTTTATATAATAACAGTGATATTTGTGCGAGATAAGACTCGTGTTTATTGTGTGTATATATTATTGTTTATAAGACTTATTTTGTTCATAATTTTAGTGTATTTTTGTACAACTGAGACAGGACTCCTTCTATTATAGTTTTAAGTGTATAATATTAGTAAATCTTGGTGTAATAATGTCATCAATTAAACATTGTTGTGTTCCCGTGTGTACAGAAAATCAGGGTAATCCGTTAAGATACTATGTCTTGTGACTCTATTTTCATATCATTATTATATGTATATCTTTAATACGAGTAGGATTAAGGCTCCTAAATCAAATACTGTTCAATTTCATTAGTTAGGAGCTAAAATATCTTGCATCCCTAATCTTAGTGGCCTTATGTGCTTGCTGGATAAGTATTATTTTTAAGAAATTTAATGTAGAAATTAGTACCCAATGAGGTAGTAGAAGATTAAAAATAGATGTATTAATTATAATCAACAATGTGTTAAGTTATATACATAACATACAATATAGCATTTATTTAAAAATATTTCCAGTTTGGAATATTGTAATTTTATAATTCTATGACATTAAAATCAGGAAATATGAAGATATTAATAAAATTTCTTTACTGATTCTAGGCAGGAAGCAAGTGCTGCATCGATTTCCAAATCCAATTAAGGAACGAGAATGTTTCAATAAATGGGTGTATGCAGTTGGTGGTGACATTATAGGACTAGAAAATGAGCGCATATATAAGTATTAATGTGTGTATCGCAGACATTTTGAGGTCAAGTATCTATGTCGCAGTAACAAAATTGCCAATACAGCTATGCCAACGTTGTATGTGCCAGGTATGTGAATATAATTCAGTTGGTACATTCTTTTGCCAAAATAATTACCACATTTTCATCATCATTGTAATGTTATTTACGTGGTCTTAGCATATTCTTATATATAAGATGAAGCTACTCAATGTGTTTAGTTTATGTCGGGCTGTTTTCCCCAACTCCACGTCTAAGAGCATATTTTGCATGTGAGCAGAATTAATGTGATTATTTGAGCCACAAAATCACCCCGAAGAAGTTCAACAATGTTTTGATGTAGCAAGCAACTTCAGGGAGCGATCCTGGCGTGTCGAAATGTTTAGCCCTGTATGCAGCGACCTCCGGATATGTCAGCAACACATGAGCCGCTTTTTCTCTTGAAGTAGCCGCTGCTCTTAGAAGCAGCAAGTGCGGCCCTTTTCTCGTTGCTTCTTATTCTTCTTCTTGGCCTTTGCACCACTGCCTGCTGGGATAAATCCACTAGATTGCCCCTCAGGTCGGTAAGTAACCTTTTTGGATGCCTTCCCCTTACGGCTCACCACTTGCCAGGCAGCAGAGAAAAGATCATCTGTTCTTTGGGGCTCCGCAGGAGTTTTGTTACTCGTGGTCCCTTGCTCTTTTCAGCTCCTCAGATTTGGAACGGTTTTAGGAACATCCAGCGCGGAAACTGCCCCCTTGGTGGGGCCACCTACGCTGGATGATACAGCCCGTACTGCCGGTTTAATGTTGGTTCCTCTTTGTTTCTCAGTGTCTAAGGTGACCACCTCTGACACATCTCCCTCTTTTCTAATGGGCCTTGAATTGTCCATATTTTTTATGTGTTGCATGTTCATCCCTCGGCTTCCCATCCTCCATGGAGCCCGCACCTTAGGGAATGCCCTACTTTAGTATAAAAAGAATTTCAGGCATTGTGATTACCGGGGGAATATAGGAACGCGAAGTTTGGTCACAGCGTGATATGGGGAGCTCGATCCAGCTGGCAGATAGGCCTGAAAAAGGCCATCTCCACTGCCTGAATAAACTTTCACTTGCTCCGTCGGCATGGCCTTTACCACCACCTAGCCCTTTTCAGCGAAACTAGGCAGCCCCCACATCCCTCACCTGCAACCCTTTGATGGGACGTTTGGCCATTTCCTTATCTTTAGCTAGCAGATAGGACCACCGTTTAGCTTGAAATCCAGACCAAAGGCAGTTGAGAGGTAACACAGGGTATGTTGCCTCTCGACACTATATACCCATGTGACGATCGGCTCAACAATCCAGGACTCCTTCATCCCCGCATACAGTGCTCAACTGCGTAAGTCCTGGCGCAGGTGGGTGTGTTAGTCCACCGGATACACCCACTCATACCCACACCATATTTTAAAAACGTGTTTGACATTACTGGTTGTGAGTTTGTTTGTGTATTAATTTTTGTTACCATTTTTCTGAAAAACTACTTGGATGATTTTGATGTGGTTTTTGCATTATAACTATACATATTATGTCTAGGTAGGTTCTTAAATATTACGTTTTATAGTTATAGACCACAAGGAGATTTAGTTACCATGAAGATACAATATAATGTAAACACTGGGTTCCAACTCCTCAACCAATGCTGCTGTGTAACTGCCCCAATAAATACTGAAGACGGAGGATCTGCCAATAGTAAATAAATATAGAGGTTGACAGGCATAAACTCTGTCACTATACTTCAGACACCAACTCTTTAATTTTATGCTACAGTGTTAACACCTAAACCGTGTAGATTAAGAATCTAACAATTGTGAATATATATTGTATAAACATGCTACCAAGGTACTGCCTGTATCACCTCAGGACAGTTTCTTAGATATATTTTTAGGTTATTAGACCACCACACCAGGGAGCTCCACTATTAGTTGCAGGTTCTTAAAATTTGTCTTTTCTTTGAACTTGCGTTAATTTCAATTCCAAGACCATTGACCCTTCCAAACTACACTTTTAGTGAAAGAAAACCTATGAATCTCATCAACTTATGATGATAATATTCTAAAACCATCAACATTCAACAGGTAAAATCCATATTAATTCAATAATATAAAAGTGCTTAACCTATTTTGTCGAAATTTCGTACATAGATAGCTTGCATCCAGGATATATAGGTTACTTTTTAATCTGGAAATTCAAAGAGTTGCCATGACAATTTTTAAAAACCTCAATTCACACAGACAAAGTTTTTGGCATATACTATGTGGTATGTATATGTAGAGAGATTTTGTGTTATAGTGACAGTACTACATAATATAAATAACTACATAGTATTTTGTATAAATTTTATCAGTTAGGCACTAAGAGTTCCTCATCATTATATCAACCCAGTGCCTGCCCACAACTGAACATAGGTCTCCTCTCCATGCTTTCCAGCCCTAATAACAACTAACTCTCTAACTGTACAGCTCTTATATTATATTTTTAAGATGCCTGTGAAAAACAGACATATGGAGAGAACTAAAGATTCCTTGTTTTACTATGGAACCTTAAAAACTCCTTACAATAGCTGAACAAAAAAAAATTAAAAAAATAATTTATTCCTAGAAATAGAGCTGCAGACCTGAACATTGGAAAAAAATAGTAACTTATATTAAATAATTTTAACTTATATTAAATTAAATTCTTATTACATATAAAAAAGTTACTGGCGGGCCTCAAATAGTCATAGTCTGTATCTTGGGGACCAGGAGTACGGTTATCAGTTTTACTTACGTAGTTAAAAGTACCCAAATTATACAAAACAACAAATTATTGCTTAAGTTAGGAAGATAGTTTTCAACTATTTGTTGCTTGCATTATTATTTATATTTTATTCCTAGAAAAAATATGAATACAATATTTTTAGTGTAAAACGTAGATATAATTTGGTATTATGCTAATCTATAAGTTGGAGATATCTTTACTATTTTTAGCTTTCATGTGGTGCAATTTTGATGTCAAACTTAAGTAGTTATAAATAAGAGGAATATAAAGACTGAATTACTTGCCCGTGGGTTTTTATACTGCGGATAGAAAATACAACTGGCGTACACTCAAAACCTCGCTATCCTGATAAAGATCGGCCTAGGATACCGGTAGGGCTTTTTAAACATGGCCTTGAGAACTGCTCTCTGTGCCCTCTCCAATTGAATCATTCTAGTTTTGGAGGCACCACCCCAAGCTGATATACAATATTTTATTATGGATTGGCAGATGGCAAAATAAACCATACGAAGTGTCCTTTCATCAGCACCGTTCCTAAGCAACTTCATCATGTTAATAACCTTCTTGACTCGATTTGAGAGTTATGAGATATGCTGTTTGATGAACAGATTGGACTCATTACTATTTTACTGTATGTATAGATAAGGATCAAAATCTCCTTTGGGCACGACTGAGTAAAAAAGTTCAATCTGAAATTATGATATTTTTTCATGCAGATGATTTAATTTAAAGCCTGGGGTAGCCTAAACTAGAAATACTAACTTACATCCAACTATACTAGCCCGATAAGCCCGCTCTGCCTTATTCATCATCAAAATAATTATAACATTTGACCTTATTTTGTTTTTGTTTTAGATTGTCAAAATTTTACTCCTTCATGTATGAAAATGAGCATGCTAGAAGATACCTTTCAAAAGGAAGATATTGGTTGGTGCTTGGTAGGTACTCATTTATTTTAAGTGAAGTCAAATACTAGTTAGTACAAACATGTAGAGCATGGAGCACATAATTTTTAATATGACTGTAACTAATAAACATCAATATTAGTTTATTATTTTTACACACAATTATTCAACATTTATACTGGAGTCAAGTCAACATTATTATATTCTGTCAAATAGAATTTAGTAGACATGGAGACTTCACTTTGCCCATACCAAAATACATTATTAAATCTTCTTAACAAGCTAGAGTGCCTTCTCAACAATTGCATTAGATATATTTTCTGTCTTCGTAAGTATGTTTATATTTCTTACTATCACTCTGCTTTAAATGGCTCACTGTAAAATAAAGGCGTGACTCAAGTATTTAGCTTGTTTTCTTTTTTATCTAAAATGATCCATCCACTTCTTATCTCAAGGACAAATTTCAATAGCTTTCCTAAATACATGATAGAACTCCAGATGGTAAGTGGGTGCTGTGACCCATAGACATCTACATTTATCCTCGATAAAGAATCAAATGAAGATACCTTGTAACCCTTAAGGACAAAAATGGAATGCCTCGTTTCCTGTAAAAGGATCTTTGTTTCTCTACACTCATCTTACATAACACAGCAACATTAAACTGCTATTTTATACTGAAATTCTGTTACGAGTGAGGTCCAACCGAATGAGCCTGTCTAGCCAAACCATTTGTGCTACAACCATAATATATAAATAGCTGCAACATGACTCTGCCATGTATAAAATTTTATGTTATATATCTATTTGTACTTCAAATGTGTATTGTTATGATGAATATTTATTTTCTTTTTTAATTTTTTTCCATTTACAATAATGTCCTTTTTATTTTTGGCACCCATCACCTTGTTTCACATTCACATCGTGTGTTCACTCTAAGATAATATAAAAAGGCATTATATTTGCCCTTTTTACACCTTTATAATAAATTATTATAATATTGTTTTCTACAATTCCAGATCTATCAGTCGAGGCAAACAATTCACATTCAATTATTTCTATGATTGGCAATGTACTGTCTCCATGTACCATTGAAAAAAAATGATCTTCAGGAAAGTCGTAAAATAAGTTTAACTTTTTATATTTTTTATAGTAAATTGTTTTTAAATTGTGCAGTTAAACTTATAACTAGCTAGCCTAAACTTATAACTAATTACTGTACAAGTCATGCCCGCATGGAATGATGGCAAGAATGCTGGCACAAATTCTGCGCGGAACAACCAGGTAAATCCTTTGGTCATAAAATGAGCCAGCCCTTCTGCTCATCAGATTATGCTATTAACCGCGCTAAAATGTTCCCGTTTGATTTTTTGCGTTTATTACTCCATGGCCCAATCGGTTAACGACGACGACGTCGACTCCATCGCCCCAAAGTTCAGTTTTATTAACCTCTTTCAATTTTAACTGAATATATTAATTATTCTAGACCGGATTCTTGAGGTTAAACAAGTATGAATAATTGTAAGTTGTTAAATCTTTATCTGTGTAAAGAAAGTAAGACAAATTATTTTTAGAATAAAACCCGATACTTTGTTTATTTTCCAGATAAAAAGCCAGGCAAAATCAGTCAAAAGTTAGGAAGAACACAAAACGATTATTTATGATAGAAACAGAAATAGAACTTCGTAAAAAAAATTGTTGCAGCTAAAATACAAATTTGTAAATATAAAACTAAAGCAAAGAGGCAGTCAGCGGAATTAAGAGCAGATAGAAAATTTGCAACAAATCCTGAAATTTTAAATGCGATTGAAAATTGTACAACAGCAGCCAAAATATTAATGCAAATACAATGGGCGTGAAAATAGCAAGAAATTTAAAGGTCGGCGTTTCACATTACAAAAAGAAATTAATTGCTTGTCAATATTGAAACAAAGTCCTAAAGGATACAGATTCTTAAGAAAATTTTTTATTTTACCTGCTCCACAAATATTAATCAAAGTTTTGCAAAAAACAACGAAACTCAGAGGAACTTCATATATATTAAGAAATATCTACATATGACAGGCATTTTGAACAAAAGTTTCGCACTGTTGGATGGCTTACTGCTAACATTTATCCCACTTTAAAGTAAAATGTAAGTATATAGCAGTATGTTGCCTGCCTTCTGGGTAAGTAGGTATGTAGTACAAAAGTGTAATTTCTATGTAGTGGTAACAGAAGAATCCAATAGTTCTGTGTAATAAAAATATGTTGGCAATCTGCCACCCGCAAAAAACTCATTGGTATAACACCTTCGAATAGAACCACAAGAATAAGTGATTTATTATAAACAGGAAACTTGAACTCAAACCCCTCATTAGATGAAATTTTGTTAAATACATTAGATTTTTTTAGGACAGAAAAGCAATTTGTCAATAAATTTTAAAAATGTAATATGAAGAATACTGTAATACCTAAAAAAGTAAAGTAACAGGATATAGCTTGTACTTCTGGGTACAGGCCTCCTCTCACTTATGAGAAGGTTTTAGGGCAAGAAAGTGTCCTCCGCGCAGCCCCAATGCATGTTGGCGGACTTCAAATGTCTTCGAAATATTGTTTTTCATTTCTCAGACATGACGGTTTCCTCACGAGTTTTCCTTCGGAGCATGTGGTAAATTAGCACTTAAATTAGCAATTAATAAATTCATTGGTGCACCCACTGAGCTACCACGAATTCTAAGAAAATGAATTTTAAAATTTGCCTGAATTGTCATAGAATAATAATAATAATTTTGCCTAAATATGTAAGCTTCCATAAAACTGAAAGTATTCTGAACATTCATACATAAACTATACAAGAAAATATTATGCCTAAATTTATTGCAAACCTTAACTTAGTATCTTCTCTTTAGTAGAATTCATATGTATTAAAATTATTTCAGCTCATCAGTATAGAGCTTTGGACAGTGAAAACTCCGAAACTGCAAGTTCTACTGAAGGTAAATATTTAAATATAAGAATTAAAAGCATGCCTTATTCATGATGATAGGTTGGTGTATTCTTAGGGTTGCACCCAGGGAGTACAAAATTTAATTATACATATGTTTATACAATATAATTTAGTTTTAAAGAACAGTTTCAACTGGATCTTCGATGATGAATATTCATACAAAAATTTCACATGCTACTAAAGGATTTTTTTTCATTTAAAGCTTGTTACTAAGAGTGCCTGGTCCTGGTTATGTGCAGTGTTCTTTATTATACCCCCTTTTCCCCAGCTACATATTTCCCACACAATATCTCTGTGTATGTCTCTTAACCCTTCGATCCCCATAAAAATCCGATGCAGTCGCATGCGCCCGGCAAATCCTGAGCGATCGCATGCAACCGCACCCACCCGCAGCACTTAAAACCATTAAAATTTATATTTGGAGACTACTTTTCTATGAAGAAGTTTGGCATTATAAAATCTATACAAAATTCTCTATATATCAGTCAGGTTTCACTTCATTACAAAAAGACTATTGTATTTTGATAACAAAAACAAAACATATCAAGCGAATGTCGGCAGCGTGAAAATCACAATTATTTCAACATATATTACTCAAAATATATACGTAAAACGGTAAATTATATACACACAAAAACTTTAATTACAGTTTTATAATAAAATACTATACTAAAACACTAATAAATCACTAGAAAAATCCAAAAATCATCACAATAACATTTACGCGAAAATGGCGTACGAAGTTAACATAGATTATAAATAATTATCCATAAGATAACTTGATTTTTTATTGCACTAGCTAGAGGATAGAAAATTTAATATTGATTATATAATGTCAAACTTCTTCATAGAAAAGTAGTCTATAAATATAAGTTTTAATGGTTTAAGGTGCTGTGGGTGTGCGCGGTCGAATTCGACCGCTTAAATTTTGACTGAATAGCGCCGCGGTCGGATTCGACTGCTTGGGGGCTGATGGGTTAATCTCGAATGTTTCAATTAATGAGTATTTAACCCAAAACTGCATGACTCAATCTTTTATTATAGGATAAGGGTGACAAACGAGCACACAGTCCACCAGATGGTGAGCGGATGCTGTGGCCCATAGACATCTACATTCAATTAAGAATGAAAATGCAGATGCATTGTCACCCCTGAGGACTAAGATGGAATGCCTCGATCCCAGTAAAACGGGTCTCCGGTTCTCTATATTCACCATACGAAACACAGCAGCATTAAGCTGCTATTTTATGCTGGTTTTCTGTGAGAGCGTGGTCCTGCCCCGGTCGAGCCGACCCATTCATGCTACAGCCATAATATAGCTGCAACGTGGCTCTACTACGTAAAAAAATGAGTGTTATGTACACTTGTTATTGATATACATATCAGAGAGTATAGAAATGTGTATGTTTTCGTGATTGTCATATATGTGTATTGTAAGTGTACTTGTTAAATAAAATAAATAAAGTAATAAAAAATTTAATTAGTAAAACCATTTGTCGATTAATAATTTTGGCATTTTTTACTCAAGTATACACTATATTTTTTCAGAAACTTTATCAAAGGCCTCTACTTCAAAGGATGCATATCAAATTAGAAAACAGTCTAAACCTCAACAACAAAGAGGTAAGTAAAAATCGTATCAAGTAATATGTATTATCTAGTTAGTATACCTGCTGAATACAGATTGGCCGTATTGTCAAATATTATCTTATAATAACATAAAATAAATTAGATTAGAACATATTGTGTTTGTTGAAGCGAGTTTCACCTCAGTGTTTTTCTGTTTTTGATGCTTATATACAGTGACCTATTACTAAATGAAACTGGAGTCCAAACTAGTGTCCCAGCCAAAAAAGCTTCAAAATGCAAAAATAAGTTTTGTCAAGCAAATTAATACATGTCCAAAATGCCATACTGTATTGTGAAAACATGCAAAAACTACTTATATTTATTTTCCATAAGAAAATGCCAGCGTCTTCCACTTGACCGAATCCAGCGCAGAGCGGCTCGAATCGTCGACGACTGAGTGCTTTCCGATCGGCTCGATTCACTACGAAGGCGCTACGAAGTGATGTTGCATCTCTTTGCATTTTCTTTGGCATATACCACGGGGAGCGCTCTGAGGAATTGTTCGGATTAATCCCAGCCGCCAAATTTCATGAACGCACTACGCGGCAAATGTCCCGATACCATCCTCACCATCTGGATGTTTGGCGGTCCACCACTGTACGTATCAGAAGGAGTTTTTTTCGCGTACGACCTCTCTGTGGAATAGTTTACCACCGGCAATTTTTCCGGACCGATAAGACCTAGGGACCTTCAAAGAGCTTACTCCTTTCTAAAGGATCGGCAATGCATCTGCAATTCCCCTGGTGTTGCGGTTGATCATGGGCGGCGGTAGTCACTTAACATCAGATGAGCTGCATGCTCGTTTGCCCCCTCTTCTATAAAAAAAAAACATTATTTAATCATTTAAAAGTAATATTATGCATAGTATTTAATTTAAATTCATATTAATTGTAAAACAAATAACCATACCGATAATTTTCACTAGAATCTTCATAAGGTGAAAATAGTGCAACCTCTAGTCGAAATCATGGCTGATAAATTGTCACAAGTAAAATTGAGTAGTATTATAACGTTAATATGGCTTGAACATCCTAATGTTACAGTTTTTTATATTTCTATATGTGTGCCTACACTTTATATCGATTAACTGGGACACATTTTTCGTGAATTTTGTTCTATTCATTTAGTAGTAGGTTAATGCTTAAATTTAATTTAATAGTTTTTATTTCAATAAACTGTACAATTATTTAAAATAATGTCCTAATTTAAAATAGTCTAATATAACAGGCACCTGAACTAGGATAAGCCTGTATCTCAAGTGTATGTGCTAATAGAAACATTAACAAATATTTTCCGTTTCTTGTATAAAATAAATAACATACCAACCAAAAAGGGTTATTTCGGTAAAATATCATCGTATAACAAATTTTGTAACCATGTTTGAATTACATTTTTACAATCTGCCATTTTTAATGGGAATATAAAAAATTATCGCATTCCATTAGGTTAAACAATACTATTATCCCATACTTATGAATAAATAAAGTGAAATAGCTGGATTAACTGATTTATTATAGCAGATTATTAATAACTATTGAAGTGAGAAACATGGAATTTGCATAGTAGAAGCTGCAAATAACCTTTTTTAGCATTAACTCCCACTAGGAAGGATTTTTGAATGGAATAGGGTGTATGATTGTGCCTGAGAGTCTCATCATTTTTAAAGCAAAAGTATTTATTAGCTGCAGGCTTTTGTTTAGAAATACTGACATGGTAGAGCCACGCTGCAGCTATATTAATGATTATAGCACGAACTTGTCAGCTCAACCAGTGTATGACCACGCTCTTAATAATAGCGTGAAATAGCAGCTTTATGCTGCTGCGTTTCGTATAGTGACAGAACTGGAGACCCGTTTTTACTGTAAACAAGGCATTACATCTTAGTCCTCAGGGGTGACAACACATATGCATTTTGATTCTAAATTGCAGATAAATGCAGATGTTTATGTACCACAGCATCTTCTTCCCATCAGGTGGACTGTGTGCTTGTTTGCCACCCTCTTTCTATAAAAAACCTACTACTGTCTAAGCTAAGCCACAGGCAATAGTTAGTATATCTTATAAAAGGCAATTGGAAGACTGACAGTTTTTTGTATATCTTTTAACAGAAAAATATTTTTTTTATTCTGTTTGTTTTCAGCTGGAAGTAAGAAGAAAGTCTTTTACACAGAGAAGATTAAAAAATTTAAGACTTACCAACAATTAAAAACGAGGCTGTTGAAATAACAAAATAAGTGCAAAGATGTTAAAAAGTCCTACCGTGTAGCAGAGATGGTAAGCAGAAATGAAAGCTTAATAAACATAATTGATAAGCTGCCAAAAAGAATATCGACTTTTATGAAACTTCAATTGAAATCTCTACTGAAACCAAAAGGCAGAAAGTTTACTCTAAAAGAGAAAATTTTTGCATTATCAATATTAAAACAAAGTTCTAGGGCTTATAACTTTTAACCAAAAAGTTGGTACTACTATCCAAACAAAACTCTACAGAAAATCCTTAAAAATATAGTGATTGAACCAGGATTGAGTGAAAATTTTCTAAATAATTTAAAGAAAGAAATGTATAAAATGACACCTGAACAAAGGCTATGCAACTTATTATTTGATTAGATTGCGTTAACTCCTGGTTTATATTATAATAGGAGTATTGATCAGATAATTGGTTTTGAAAGAGATACTGAGGAAATTGTAGACCATTGTCTTGTTTTTATGATAAAAAGGATAAAGAGCCAATACAAACAGCCATTTGTTACCAGTTCTGCCAAAGTGCAACTAAAAGCCATATATTGAAAGCATTAATTATTGATATAATTAGAAGATTAAGAGAATGTGGCTTAATTATTGTCGCTACAATTTGTGACCAAGGTACATCTAATGTATCTGCAATTAATTCTCTTTTAAAAGATACAACAGAAAAATATTTAAGGCATAATAAAGTCTACAAAAGCAGTGTAACAGAAATTGATATATACCTTTATTCCATATTTATGATCCTCCCCATTTATCAAAGGGACTAAGAAATAATTGGATAGTAAAAATATAAGATTAATTTTCAATGGGGAAGTCATGATGGCAAAATGGGAACATTTAAAAATGCTTTTAGAAATTGATGTTGAAGATGATTTAAGAATGTTAAACAAATTAACAGCCGTGTAGTGGCGGTTGAGAATATCCACTACCCCATATCATCGCGTGGGTGTCGTAAAAGGCGACAGAGGGAGACAGGCAGGAGATGGGCAGCATCGTCTTCTTGATAAAAAACTGCGGTTGCCAACCCGCTCGGCAAGCGTGGCAACTATGGCAAATATCCCCCCATGAATAACGACGCAAACAAACGGCCCCCAGTCCCCGGCGGCCCCGCTATTCCTGGCTACGGTGGCGACCATGGTAACGGCAGGGCAGGGGGTGCTAAGAATTTCCGGTGGAGGTTCGGTTGCCACCTACCACGACTCGACCTGGCAACATATAACGCACACACCCTGAGGACTGATGAGAAGATACTGGAGCTGGAAGAAGAGGTAGACAAGTTGCGTTGGCATATTATTGGATTATCCGAGGTCCGAAGAGAGGGGGAGGACACGGTAATCCTCGAGTCCGGCAACTTGTTCTATCACCGGGAGGGCGACCATCTGTCCCAAGGAGGTGTCGGATTTATCGTCCACAAGTCTCTCGACAACAACGTTGTAAAGATTGGGAGTGTGTCGACGAGGGTCGCGTACCTGATACTCAGAATCACCGAACGGTATTCGCTGAAGGTCATACAGGCTTACGCACCAACTTCGGCACATCCCGATGAGGAGGTGGAGGAAATGTATGAGGATTTTTCCAGAGCCATGCATTCCTCCAAAACCCACTACACGGTGTTGATGGGAGACTTCAATGCAAAACTAGGCACAAGAGAAAGCGGTGAGCTGAAGGTAGGGAAATTTGGAGTAGGGCAACGGAACCGAAGGGGCCAGCAGCTGGCCGACTTTATGGAGAAAGAGGGATTCTTTATGATGAACTCTTTCTTCCAGAAGCGGCCCCACAGGAAGTGGACCTGGTCGAGCCCCGACGGTTCGACAAAAAATGAGATTGACTTCATTATGACGACCAGACGCCAACTGTTCAGTGATGTCTCAGTGATCGCAAGGGTGAAAACTGGCAGCGATCACCGAATGGTTAGAGGCACACTGAACCTAAACGTTAAGTTGGAGAGGTCTCGTCTAATGAGGTCAACGCTCCGTCCCCCTCGTGCTCTAATCCAGAATCCCGAAACCTTTCAGCTCGAGTTACGTAACCGCTTTCAGTGCCTAGAAGATTGCAATGCAGTGGACGATATGAATGACAAGCTCGTGGAAACTGTCCATGCGGTCGGAGCTAAGTTCTGCAGGACCCGCCGTAGACGAACACAAAAACTCTCCGATCACACTCTTAATCTCATGGCTGTTAGACGGGAGATGACGCTGCAATCGTCAACAGATTTGACAGCATACAGGCAACTGAACGGACAGATCTCCAAATGCATGCGGCGAGACTTACGCAACTTTAATACTGCTCGTATTAAAGAAGCGATCGAGCGGAACCAGGGCTCCAAAGTCTTTGCCAGAGATCTGTCTGCCAGAAAGAGCCAACTGTCAAAGCTGATGACTGAGTGTGGCAACATCGTTTCCGGGTCAGCTGGAGATTCTGAGTGAGATTGAGAGGTTCTATGGGCAGCTGTACACATCATCGTTGGAGTCACACGCAAGTGTGAGTACCGATCCAAGAGCAAGTCTTATCCGACACTATTCCGATGATATCCCGGACGTCAGTCTGAGCGAGATTAGAATGGCTCTGCAGCACCTTAAAAACGGCAAGGCCCCGGGCGAGGATGGAATTACAGCGGAGCTTCTGAAAGCGGGTGGAACACCGGTACTTGAAGTCCTTCAGAAGCTTGTAATAGTGGAGACGAACTGTCCACTATTAACAGACTCCGAGTGGTTTTCTTTAAGGTGGAGAAATGAAACTACTGTTTATGTTTATGAATGTACTGTCGAATGGGATTCGGAATGGAATATATTTTGCATCAACCTTGCCTATATTTATATGGCTGGCTCACTATTGATTTGCCAATGGTAACAATTAATATTTTGCCTAGCCAATTATATTGCTTATTTTATGACCAATGAAAACTATTTAAAATATACAATTATCTACGTTTCGTTTCCCGGCGTGAGACTTGTTTGTTGTTCACGAAGCTACGTCGCTGGACCGGGCTATATAAGACATGCAGATCGGTGCGCACGCGTAGTCGGCGGGCGGCGGCGGTGTGGAATACAGCTCCGGAACAGCAAGAGGAAACGAACTGCGGCGTTGAAGAAACGGCTCACCATTGGTCGACGGATACGTGACGATAGCGGCGTGTGAAGTCGGTGTGGCGCTGAATGATATTTGCGGCTGCTTCTTGTTTCTTTATAAGAACGTCAATTATCTATATACAGTCCGCAGTATCTCAGTAGCAAAGAATAATTAGGAAATAAAATGTTCTTTTTTATTTATTCTCGCCTTCCGCGTTATGGTAGCAGCGGAGTATATATTATTTATTCCCGTTTCGGTTTGATTAATCTGGCTGCTACATCACTCTCCCCCAGCGAAAGCGTACCGGAGGCTTGACGACTCGCCCGTATTTCGTAGTTTTTAAAATAGGTTTGAACTGGGTTGATGTAGATGATGAATTTTCAAGCTTCCTCGCTGGTGGTTTTGATGATGATGATGAATCCTCTGCAGTATCCTCGTTAATAATATAGGCAGGCTTTAGTCGGTCGATCGATATAATCGTAGATTTCCTTCCGGGTATTTGTAGTTTAAAAGTCTTGCTATTTCTCTCTAATACTTTATACGGTCCATCGTAGGTAGGTTGAAATTGTTTTTTCATTGCGTCGTTTCTTACAAAAACTTGCTTGCATGTTTTCAAATCTTGGTGAATGAATACTGATTTATTATTTCTGTGTGATTGCATTTCGGTGCATTTCAACGATAAGGCTTTGTTAATTGATTCTCGAAGTTTAGTTACGAAATCGTAATCCATTTCTTGTTTGTTTGACGCTGCTGAACTGAAGAAGTCACACGGCAGCCTTATGCTGCAGCCGTAGGTTAGCTGAGCGGCGCTAAGACTAGTGTCTGCACGCGGTGTTGCTCGTAGTCCGAGTAGCACTGTAGGTAGCTCATCAATCCACTTTGTATGTTGAGATAAACGAGTTTTGAGTGCAGTCTTTAATGTACGATGCCATCGTTCGATTATTCCGTTTGACTGAGGATGGTATGCTGTTGTACGCGTCTTCTGTATTCCCATAGTTTGAAGAAGTTTGAGGAATAGGTTGCTTTCGAAATTCCTTCCTTGATCCGTTGTGATGGTTTTAGGTGATCCGAAACGAGTAATCCAATTTTCATAAATTATCTTCGCGACGGATTCGGCTGAAGTATCATCGGTAGGTATTGCTTCTGGCCATCTTGTTGTTCTGTCGATCATTGTTACGAGATAACGATGTCCTTGCGGTGAAGTAGGTAATGGTCCAACGATGTCAACGTGCAAGTGTTCGAATCTCTCCGTGGGTGGAAATGTAGCTAGACTACTTGATGTATGCCTTTGTACTTTACATTTTTGGCATTGAATGCATTGCTTCGCCCAGTTGCCAACATCCGCTTGCATTGCAGGCCAAAAGAATTTTTCAGTGATGAGTTTTCTTGTTGTTCTAACACCTGGATGACTAATGTTGTGCAGTGCATTGAAGACTTCGCGACGACATTCTTCTGGTATGTATGGTCGCATGGTTGTCGTTGAGGCTTCACAGTATATAGGTAGATGCGTCATTGGCATTGTAACTTGCTTGATGGACAAGTTACCTTGCTTCGATAGATGTTTTATGTTGTCACTATCTCTGTCTTGTGCTGCGGCGATCTTATGATAGTCGATTGATGTAGGGCACGTTACACTGTCGATTGGTACGCGACTGAGTGCGTCGGCAACTATGTTGTCCTTACCACTGATGTGACGTATGTCGGTCGTGAATTCACTTATGAAAATAAGTTGTCTTGCTCTTCGTGGTGTTTCCGATAGTGATGGTTTCTTTGGAAGTACATATGTTAATGGCTTGTGGTCGGTAAAAACGATCAGGTTTCGACCCTCGAACGTTTTTCTGAAGTGCTTGATAGCCATGTAAATAGCGAGTAGCTCTCGGTCGAATGTACTGTAGTTACGTTGAGTATCGGAGAACTTCTTCGAAAAATATCCAAGTGGTTGCCATTTCCCATTG